TATATATATATCGAAACATTCAGATATTAGGCAGCAAGCAACGGGGAATATTATCAGGTATGTTCTCGACCATATCTTATATTAAGGGTTTGTCGACCATTGCTAATTATAATAAAGACACAATCGTCGTTATAGGCACACATATTGCGAACGAATTAAACCATAATACGTACATAACGTCTGATACAATGTACCTAAAAATATTAGCAAGATAATAAACAACCATCAGTACGTACTTTGAACCATATCTCCCGTGTTTTTCCAGGAACTCAGTAGTGACGCTTTCAAGAGCTTCAACTCCGTATCAATATACTTCCCTAGCGAGCATCCCTTACGCTTCTGTATTCCCCACTCATCGTGAGTATCGACTGTCTGTGCACTGTCAAAACCATTGTACACACGCACGCCAAACTCATCACGCGCGCACACACACGGCAGCGAGTCTGCGATATCCAACAAGGACTTCTCCCGCAAATGCTGACTGCGGGATCGCACATGTGTAGGAATGTAGTTCATGGTTGTATGTTATAAGCAGTGGCTCCAGTGAAAGGTGTGTCTCTAGTAATGTCTAATCCCTACTCACTCCATGGAAAAGATCTGAGCAATCTATACGCGCGTTGACAGCGGATACTAGCAGCGGACGTGTGTCATATCGTCGTTCGAGCTCTGGTTATTGCATGTACCTGTATGCACTAAAATAAATATGCTTTCAAGTCTACGGTGTTCGCAGTTACAACGAGCTCTGAGTATTAACTTCTCGAGTACCCCCTCAAGGCATGCTGGACACTGTTTGTATCCGATAACGATCAACGGCTATAGCTACCCATGGGCCACAGGCCCACAACACTGACAAAGTGACAACAAGGCGGGGGAGGATACCGAGGAGTGAGAGTTTGAGGCGAGCCTCTGTGGTAGTTAGGCAAAAGTTAGAAAATGCCACAGAAATGATGACGTAAGCGCTATAACGATGACGTATATAGGAGTTGTCAGTTGTCAGTTGTCAAGCTGTCTGTGCCACAGTGACACTAAAACAGACCCACTGTGCCTTCGCCAAAGTGTTTTTACTTAATTTTTTTATTTTTACAAAATATGTAAGTACTTTAATATTGACCACAGGAGGTCGTCCTAAGTGGACTGCTGTGGATTGTGACACGCACAATAGCACTGGGCCACAGATAAGTTGCATTGCCTGCTGAGACTGAGTTGACTGTTCACAAGTACTAGCACGGTGAGCCATAACTAGTTTGTGGCATTAGTATGTACCCATGAACCTCAAGCGATCCCCTTGAATGGTTTACATGCACCATCACAATGACGACAGTCCAGCTTACCAACCACGTAGTACATCCCATGCTCTGTATACTTCCTATCATCGTGCATCTTATTATGATTCAAGTCTCCAAGCGATGAAAGAATCAACATTTTTTTCTCTCGAATACAGCCCACTATAACAGGCATATAGAAACGCTGAGCGCCACCTACGAATAAGTACGTATTCTCCTTGAGCGTGATGTCGACATTGTGGGACCGATTTGTTATGGCCGCAACTGAAGCGCCACAAAGTACTGCCGTGGTATTGCCAGCAGCAGGTATAAACGTAATGATTCAACCCTAACTGCTCAATGTATAATGCACAGCTGTGTACAGTCTTAATTTACTGCTACGCATAGACGCTCTGGAGAATGTGAGTACGGCCACAGTGTTAGATATACCGACTTGCCATGACAGAAGTTGCAGCGTAAATAGTGCGCGGCACGGCCCATAGTCAGTATCAAGGCTGTGCTGAACGAGAATCTGATGGTCCACACATTGCTATAATGTTGCTCTCCATTCGATTGTAGTCAGATCTTGCATAAAGTTGCGCATATATATATATATATATATTTATTTAATTATTTTAAGATATATATATATGAATATATATATATGTATATGTATTATTTATAATATAAATTATATATATATATATATCATACTTTATACATACATACATACATAC